TTGCAATTATTTTTCGTTCCCGTAACACGGTCTCGGGATTGTTGACAGAGAGAAAATATTTCGTAAAATATTTGTGCAACGCGTGTTACCATCGTAACGGTTGGCAATTGCAGTCGTGATAATACCAACCGCCACGTCTATCTGACACGTGATAAATAAAGATATTTTTCTCCGTACGATATACGTACGCAAATAATGTTTTCACGCGCGTTATGCGTACGCATTGTAATCTCGGCAAAATCAGACAAGATCACTTTAAAAATGTTATCCAGCGTCGATATAATCGCGCGCAAAGCATGAAACCTCGCGATCGCCGCTGCAGAAACCTCGTCCTGGAGGGAACGTTAACAATAAGCAATAATTCGCAAAATGCATCGTCGTAATTTGTCACAAGTGCGTGTGTAACAATAAGCACAAGTGCATAAGTGGTTTGCGACAATGGCCGCGCGATAGCGCTTGAGGAAACCGCAAAAATACCGATGCCAAAATAAAGGAAGGCGAGACGGTGCGCAACAAGTCCAACACGACTTGCCGAGAGAGAAACTCGTTACATTTTTTTTTTTTATATCTCTCTTTTACGGCGGAACGTATATCCCCGTCTGATTCATTTGTGACATCAGACACGCAGGGAGCGCGTAGAATATTTCGCGGACTACGTAAGAAATGTCTCGGCGGAGAAAGGAAAACCAGACTCGCAAGGTTTGCTATCCCTGAACGGTTAACAGACAACGTTTCCGCGGACGAAGGAGTAATGCTCCGATGAAAAATAAAATATTACGTTGAGAACGTTCGAGAACGGTCTGCAGCGCGATCTTTGTTTATTTATTTAAGCACAAATTCTCCGCTGGGCGGAAGAAATAGTGCAGTTGATCGAATTATAAAAGTCACATTTTGAGGAAGAATATAAGAAAAATAAGATAAATAAATAAATTGATGAATCGCGTGAATATATGGTGAACTTTCCAAAGATTACACGGCTCTACATCATTGCACAGCACACTCGAGATAACGATACTTGATCGATTACGATCGACCACATCGTGCTGCGCTGGTTGTGTCACAGCGCCTGATTCAGATAGACATTTCTCAATCACCTGCCTAGCAATAATCTTTCCATCAGGATGGTAACACTCGACAGCTGATCCCGTACGTGTAGTCGAACACAAAGAAGACGTGAAAAAGCAATCACGATCCTACAGCAATCGTAAACATCATACATCACCGAACAATCTGCCCCGTTTTAACATCGTGATATTTCCCAAACACACGCATCAATCTGTCAAACGAAGATCGCGATATTCAGCCGAAAGCTATTTACGTAGCCAATACCCTCTATTTACCCCGTCCAATTATCGGAATTGATGATTCAACAATAATAGTCATAAGCTCCTGCTCCCTTCGTTAAATGACAAAAAGGCAGGGACAGTCAAGCCCCAAATCACACATTGATACGCAATCATTGACTACACCGGACAGGCGATATCGCATCGCTGAGCGAGCGGTTTGAAACGAGCCATCGAGCCAGCCATTAACAAAGCACGAGTGCACGAGAGATACCATCGCAATCTCGTTTGCGCCGTATTCGCCATCGCCAGAGGACAAAAGACGAGGTTTCTAACCTATACACGCAGACTCAAGCCCAGCCGAGACCCACGAGAGCTGCTCGCGAGAGCAGCGGGGGGCGCCAGGGCGCCAGGGCACCAGGGCGCCGCGATACGCGCCTGTCCGGCATGCAAGAGCGCTCCGTGCCACTTGTTGCATGGCCGCGCTTGGCACTCGCGCATTTGAATAAAACGGGTTACGAACTGGAGCGCGCGCTGCACGCTGCTTTTCGGGGGGCTACGTACCGGGACGGCCGGAGGCGGCCTCCTCGTCCCCCTGGGCCACCGATTCCGGAAGTGTCGACTGTCCGTGGGAGGACGCGGCACCGGTCACCGCACTTGACACCACCGAGTCGCACGTTTCGGCCATTTTCAGGTTAACCCACCTCGCGTTACAAAGCGCACGGCGCAGCACAGCGCGGCGGCCACTTACCTCGAGCCTCGACGCGCATTCGAATCTCTCGAGGGGCCCCGTTTTCGAAACTTCCACGCACGCTGGCCCGCGTCACGCTTCCGTCACGCGTCGTCGTCCCGCGAGATGGCAGCATCTACACGACGCCCGTCCGTCCGACATCTTGCGGGCGAATTTGAACGGCGCACGTCGCACCGTTGGGCGCGAGAGCTCCCGTACCGACGGTAACCTCTCACGTGGACCAAGTGCACACTGACGCGACCGAGAAACACGGAATGGCGAGGCGCGAAAATATAACACGAGCGAACCGGCAAGGCTACGAAGCAAGCGCTTCGCTTCGCTTCGCTCCTCACTCGCACGTGTGTGGCACCCTTCGACTATTCCCGACTATGCTCCGCGACGATTCCGAGTATCGCGACACTTTGTCGTTAATCGCGCATTCCCGCGGACTGACTTTTGCGCCAAAACTATCGCCCGTCACCCGACTACGCGCAAAAGCCGCTTTAGATCGCCAAAGAGACGCGACGCGACGCGAACACGGAGCGATCGCGACGAAACACGACGACGCTCAATGGCGAACGACATGAAACTGCCGCGTATGGTCACGTGACGCAAGTATCTCAATATCTCGAGCGATGTTCACTTTGTTCACTTCGTTTAGACTCTCGCGTACGATCGCGAACGTAATGCCAATGATCGAGAGCGAAGTCGCGTTTAATCCGAAGACGTTTGCACTTAATCTCGAAGCGTACGCTTCGGCGAATAGTAATAGGAGTGCACTCCTTCCACTTTTCCACTCCCGAAAGTGCGAAGACGATACCGGTGGAAGCATCGGATAACCTACGTCACCCAATCGACACCGCGGTCTTTCCGAGAATCGTCAGATATAATCCTAAGTCGTGCTACGATAGGTTGATTTTTGCACCAGAACGATCGCCCGTTATTCAACTCGGCACTCCCGACTCGTTCGTTGATACGTACGAAGTAGCCTCTTTCGACCGGTGAAAAGAGGCGACGAACGCGGAGCGTTCGCGACACGACGCCGAAGTACTCGCGAACGAAACGTAACTGCTTCGTATGGTCACGTGATGCAAATATCTCAATAGCTTCAGCGATATGCTTACTCACTCTGCTAGATTCGAGCACAATCGCGGGCATAACAGCAGTGACCGAGAGCGATCGCGTTTGATTCAACGATATTTTGGCGAAAACTCGAAGCGTACGCTTCGGCGAATACAAACGAATGTACTCGTCCCATTTTTCTCGGAAATACGGGGGGTCTGCCAATAATCGACGCTGTGCAACGGACATCGGCCCAGAATATCTTGGAACATCGTCTTTCCTAGTGTCTCGCAAGCCAATTTTTCAGCAGAACGATCACTCCTCGCTCAATTCGACACTCCCCGACTTTTGTTGACACACCAAATCTTCTTTCGACTGACGAAAAAAGGCGACGAACGCGAAATGTTTGCGACGCGACGCCGAAGTCGCAATATAACTGCCGCTCATGGTCACGTGACGTCAGTATCTTTGGAGCAAAAATGTTTTTACCGATGCCCTCAGATAATATCAATATATTGATTAAGATGTGTTTCTTTTATTTTGTTTATTTTAATATTTTGCGTATCAAAATTGTCTGAAGTGTTATGTGTAAAGTTGGAGAATTTTTTCTTTTTACTGTCTTGTTGCATATTGTAACTATATTGAAACATTGGAACTATATTGGAACTGTTGGGATATGTACAGTCAACTAGAAAAGTGCGATTGAAGTAGAGTTAAAGTTAAAATCCAATTGATTATACATGTATGTAAAACATTAAAATTTAAACTAATATTCGATCGTAAATTTAAATCTATCGTAATTACCTTTCATCGTCTCTTCCAAATATTCTCAAATTACAAGAAAGCATTATACAAGAACTTTTATTAAATCAAATGTTTCCAGACAACATTTCATCTATTACTATTCATGGATATCATCTATTACTATTCCATGGATAAAGCTGAACAAGTAATAGAATGAAAGAATTTCTTCCAGATAACCGAGAGGCCAGACGCCTGAAAAACATCTACCTTGCAGACAAGAAACGATTGTAAACGTTTTCATTTCAACAAGATAGGCTTCATCTCTATAACTTTTAGTTTGTCATTAATTTTAAGTATAAAAAGAGATGAGAACTTATATTTGTAAAAGACATTAATATACAATTTAATAATAATGTTAATTTTGAATATATCTTGTATTGTTGTTTTAACAAGTTTATATTACGGAATTTAAATATTGTAAATACAGTATCTGTATCTTGTATTATTTATTCGAGTAAAACATTTTTATCATCTGGCTTGTTAGTGATTTCCACTACTTAAACAGAAATATTTACTCAAATAGATTACTTTAGAAAAATCTCAATTTTGGATACAAATAATTTTTATTTAGATTATATTGTAATATAATCCCCAGGTAGCAGACTGACGTCAAATGACGTACTAATGACGTCTCTAACGTCATTAAGACGTCATTAGTACGTCATTTGACGTCAGTCTGCTACCAGGGTCTTATATGTATAACATAAAATTATACTTATATCATAGTATGCAATGTAATATCTTGTAAAATAATACACAGCGCAATCTCTAATAGATAATATTATCATATTACAAAATATATGTTATAATATCTGATACAATTCGGAGTTACAATTACAGTTTTAATATAAATTATAAGTACAATGTGTGTCTAACATTATACTAGACTATATTATATATTATATTTACATTAGATGTTTTAATGTAATTATTAAACGACTTAATATAATATAATATGATTTAATACAAAATTATATCATCAAGAGTCATACGTATCTTAATTAAAATAGTTTACACAATATTTAGCCTTATACAAGTAAGGTTAAAAATAATAAGATATTTTAACATGATGAACTTATATTAATTTTCCTTGATATTTGGAAAATATTAATATATGATGGAATATTAATTTTAATCATATTTTGCGTATATTCCATATCTCTAACTTAACAATAAATAACTGAAGTTGTGAATTATGTTTGATTTGAGTATTCTGTTGGACTAATACCATTGACGAACTACTCTGCTGGACTGCTGGAATGTATACATCGCCCAAGCTATATAAGGCCTTTCAATTGTATGCAGGCGGCTTCATCTTCTATTGCTTGTTCTACTTGTTTATCATTGCATAACTAGAGAAGATTGATCCCTAGAAAAGAAAATTATTTTAGTAAAAAATGATACAATTTATTTCTTCATATCTTGAATATGATTCTTTATCATAATTCAAAACAATTAAAGAGCATAACAAAAATATACCTCAGAAGATATTGCTTCGCAAGTACTGTACTTATAAGTTTTATAGTGCATGTAAAATTTTTAAAGCATCAATGCAAAATGTACGCAAAATAAAAAATATTATTCAATTGTACATTAATGTCTTTCACAAATTCATATAAGTTCACATATCTTTTAATGTTTGCAATTAATGAAAAAGACTGAAGGTTATCATTAATTGAAATCTGCCTTATTGAACTAAAGATACTCCAAGTCACTTGTTAATTGTAAGGTAGACATTGTTCAAGTTGCTGAATCCCATATATTGTCCATTTTACTACTCAGCTATGTTCATAGATAAACAATAGATAGATGCAATATTGTCCTTGTAAAAACATGTTATTTTTTTTAACATATACATATGTGTGTGTAAAAGTATGTAATAGTATTAATTTATTCTTTAATATTTTAGATATTTCACAAGTTTCCATAATTTCGAATAATAAAAAATGTCAACAGAAGATAGTTGCAATAAACATTAATTCATATTCATAGGAAGGTATTAAGTTTAATTTTAAAAATCTGGAAACGTGCCAAACAATATCTACTGGTTTAATTCAATAAAATGATATTAAAATGTATTTATCCTATAGTTGAATGTTTTGTTGTATTGTTAACGAACTATTAATTATTCAATACGCACCTGACCTCCATTGAAAAAGCAGAGATGAATAATATTACCTCGATTATTTTGACATCGATTATCATTATCTAACAAAATCGATAATCGGTATAATGTTTTCTCACCTTGATTATTCCCTAGACGATAGTTTTTATTCGATGGTACTAGAATCGTTACATAGGTTTGTTCATTTTTGCAGAACTTGGGTTTGAATTTTCCTAAAAAAAAATTAACAACGTCGTAAAATTTGTCTTAGATTATTAGATTGTGGATATTATCACCTTCGATGATTTTTAAATGTAATCGATTGTAAGATGTATGGATTCTTTTGTTTCAACATCACCTGTCTCTTCCTCTGGCTCGGCTAACAGCAGAGGGAAAACAAAGTACACAGCAGGGCACAAAGTGCAAAAAGTGCAAGTGCGGACAAACCATTGGGCACGATTCGGACCATAGTCTCGTGTCCATGTGATAATCCAACATTAATTAGAAAAAATCGCCTCCTCGTGACAACTCTCGTCAACTGAAGACAATTTCTGCCGCTGTTGCACGGCCGACGGGTCGTGTACGTCGGTGCAACGAGAGCGCAGTGTAAATGCACCATTACCGAGCGGCAGCCGTGACGTAACGCGGTCTCTCTGCGCCTCTGTTCATTTCCGCTGTGACGCATGCGTATTCGGCGCGGGCCGCGAATCAGAATCAGTCCAACGGAATCTGGAGGAGGATACGGCACGGCACGGCACGAAACGACACGACACGGTCGACGTAGCCGAGCGGGGAGTCGCGAGCGATCTACCGGGACAAACTTGTCAATACACGGCCGCCCGACGCGGCGTCAACCGTTGGTGCGCTTCAGCGGACGCGAAGAGGAGGAGGTGGTGGTGGCGGCGGCGGCGGCGGCGGCGGCGGTGGAGGTGGAGGAGGCAGGCAGGCAGGCAGGCAGACAGGCAGGCAGGCAGGAAGGAAGGAAGGAAGGAAGGAAGGAAGAAAGGAAGACACGAACGGCGACGTGAATTGTTCATCGAGAAGTCACTTTTGGCCTGGCAGCCAGGATGGCGAAGCCCGAGCAAGTTTTAATTATCGAGCCACAGGGCGAGCTACGGTTCAGGGGTACGCTGAGACACTACGAGAGTTACATAGGATAGATAGAGATAGAGAGTGAACGAGAAAGAGAGAGGGTGAGAGAGAGAGAGAGAGAGAGAGAGAGAGAGAGAGAGAGAGAGAGCGAGAGGAGCAAAGAAAGAAAGAGTGAGAGGGAGAGAAAAGAGCTGTTTTCGCGTCGTGTGTTTCAACGTCATGTCTTCGTTAACGTCGCGTCGCGAACGCGCGATGCCGTTTATGCCGCTCTCGCAGGCACGACATTCGCTTTCGACGAGTTTGCACACGGAGCAACTCGGCGCTCTGCGTGTGTAAAGATGACGTAAGGTCGCTTCACCCGCCCGCCCGGCCGTATGTACGTTCGTTGGCACACTCGTTCTGGCACGCTCGTTCGCTCGTTTCTCGCTGTCGGCACGGCGCGACTCAATGTGACAACCTGTGCACCGTGCCGCGACGAACTTGGAGCTCGAGTCCGAGGTCGCGCGCTTCCTCGGCATCGTGCAACGTCGCCAACTCATACCTAACCCTATCTGCGTCCGTACGTCAATGCGCTGTCAAAGTTGGTGCGAGTGATCGTGGAAAAGAGATAAAGATGAGGAAGTGAGTGAGGGCGAGCGATTGGCTTGTACGAGAGAGAGAGAGAGAAAGAGAAAGAGAAGGCGCTGGGATGAGAGAGAGAGAGAGAGAGAGAGAAGCCAACGATCTTCGATTCTCCCCGGATTCACTGTGGCGTGTCGACGGAATTTCGCTTTGTTACGGGTGCATGCGAGCACAAATCGCCGAGAATCGCGAGTCGTTAGCTCGCGCCCTCTGCTCGTTCTCGCGTCGGCGTTTTGCGCGACTTCCCACGACAGAGTAGATAATCGTCGAGCGGAATACGAGCGAGCAAGCAAGCGAGCGAGCGAGAGAAAGAGAGAGAGAGAGAGAGAGAGAGAAAGAAAGAACGATCGGGGGAACAGTTGGTCAATACGCGATCGTTTTGGAAAATGTAGGAATAGCGGCGTCGATCGATCGGCGCCGACGACGGTCACGCTTTCCTCGTCGATCGGTGACCGTCGACGAAAGCGACAGAAATATATCCATCGGCAGTTTCCTTGAATTTACACCGCTGCTCCACTTCTCTCTCTCTCTCTCTCTCTCTCTCTCTCTCTCTCTATCTTTCCCCCCTCTCCCTCCTCTGTTGCTCACCTCTTTCTCTCTCTCGCGCGCGCCGTATACGGTAGGCTAATCTATAAGAAGCTCGTTAGATTTATGCTTCGTCATGAAATAATAACGGCCAGCGACAGATTTCGATTCTTTTGACATCGCTCGCTGAGCGATTTTTTCTCTCCCCCTTCCCCGCGCCTCCTATTAATTATTAATATTAATCGCGAATTACGTAGGACTTTAATTCTCGCGCCCGTTGCGTACATTATTCATCGAGGTCACGTGTTTTTCCTCGGAAACGTCTCCGCGTCGAACGACGACGACGACGACGACGACGACGACTAAAACGATAACGGATGCTTGCATGTGCAAATTTTGTACAACTATAATGCGTGCGGATAATGAGCTTCTTTCGACGAGTGTACACGTCGAGTACATACGGCACATCACGCAGTCGCGTCTGTTTACCACGTTCTTCCTCTGGCTCTTCTAGATCGCGTTTAGGTATCAGGTGGCCGTGTAACGTCCTTCGACTGTGACCATCTTGTCGCGCACGTGCGAAAAAGCGGCGAAATAAAAATAGTTATGCGTGCGCGATCGAGTCGTGCGAGGAACGTACCGCTGTTAAAAAGCGCGTTCGACGTTATCCTTATCAAACACACACATTCGAGCCGAAAGCTCGCCGCACGTAATCGCGTCGCGAATTTCCGATCGACCTGCCCTCGAATTGATTCTTTTTTTTTCTCTCTCGCTCTTTGATATGTTAGATTGAATCGTACACGCGTCGAGCGAATGCCCCGATTGAATTTGCATGCGTTTATACAAATAGGCGTGCAGCTTTGTAAGAACTGTTTATTTGCGAGGTATGAAAGGCGAGTGACATTTAAAGTCGAGCCGTCCACAATTGCTGTATATTACAATTGATTAAGCAATATCTCATCGATCTCATATTTTATGATCTCAGAAGGACCTGCGTGATAACTAACTACTGTATGATTACATTTGAATAATATATTTAGCAATTGTACAATATTACGATATAATGACTTAGATAACATTCAGAATCCTTTTTCAAAGACTGAAATAGGTAAAGAAAGAAATTTCAAAGAAATGGATAAAGATAGGAATTTCAAAGAAATTATACACATTTAAATAATGATAGGAATTTCGAAGACAGATTTGACTTTTACAACACATGAAAAAAAGATAATTTGCTAAATTTATAATTGACCATTGATTGCGTGTTTAAAACACGACGATTTGTCATATCCGTTCTTATCGCTTGTAAATAAATTAGCATCGTCATTGATCATAGAAGTATTCATGCTCTTTGCGTTTCTAATGTTTTGCTCGATTTCAAGCGTTTGCTTTATTGTATTCACAAGGACAATTGTATACCTCTTGATTCTTATGAGTTTTTGTAATAGATACAACAAGACACAAGAAGAAGTTCCTCTCTCTCTCTCTCTCTCTCTCTCTCTGACTCTTGAATTTTGCATGTATATAATTTACTTGAATTTTGCGTGTGTGTACAAGTGTACACCGCGCGTTACATAATTTCAACCTATTAGTAAATTGTTTTTTACTTTGCTACATTGCTTACTTTGTTGCAGGCCCATTTACGGGAGGACCTGTCACGTCTTATATAAAACTAATCAACCCAACGACTCACAAAGTATATTTTAAAATAAAGACAACTGCCCCAAAGAGATATTGTGTACGTCCAAATTCTGGAGCCCTCAAGCCAAAGGATGTTACCGAAATAGCGGGTCAGTTTTGCATCACGTGATATACAAATGTTATCTTTACACTTCCACGATAATTTACTATAGTGATCTTTTTATATCTCTGTTATTTATACGGATAAAAATTCAGAAATGTTTCTCGAAATTAGATATCATATTGTTTCGATTACAGTATGCTTACAACCATATGATTTTGATCCGGCGGAGAAAAATAAACACAAATTTATGGTGCAGACTGTAATAGCGCCAGATGATGATGATGACGAATATCCAATCGATGTGGTAAGTAATGTGGAATAATTAGTAAGAGTTAATATCGGCGGCGAAAACTGTATTAACAAATAAGATTATCCCAGTATTCGCTTCAGCTTTGCTTCAATAATGAGCCTTTTAATCAATTAGATTTCTTTTTAAAGTGGAAGGACATAAATCCAGATCAGTTAATGGACTCTAAACTGAAATGCGTCTTTGAGAATCCCGTGACCAATACCACCACGGCTAAAACAACTGCAACTTCTACAACAACCAAGGCAGATTCCAATACGACTAACGGGAAGAACAAGGCAGTTGGCGATTCAGTCAAATCATCACCGAAGGTAAGAGTGTAATAAACTGTGTCGATTTGAGAATACAAGAAGTGATCACTCGTAATACTGACAAACTGCTTATTCACGTTTCAGGTGCTTGGTGAAACAGAAGAGAAATTGTTAAAGGCAGCACAAGAGGTTAATCAGCTTAGGGTAGAAGAAAGCACTCTTAGGCAGGAAAATCTTCAACTTAGGGTGAGTGTCAACGTTACACAAGCATATTTCAGCAATATATATTGCGTACTTGCGAGCAAGGAGAAAACTTTTATCTTTACCTTTACCTGACTTTAATTATTCAACCTGCAATTCGCCAAATCTCCTGAAATATTTCGACTGAAGACACATGAAATCGCCGATTTTCAATTTCCATTCATCTTCGTATTGTCGAAAACCGATCAACAACAAATTTGTTAAGGTGGCGATGCGCGTCTGTCCGCAGGAAGATTTAATGAAGTGGCGAAACGTGGCACTGGGTAACGACGGTAACCTTGCAGCAGCTAGAGGTCTAACCTCGCACAGCAATAGCCAGTTATCTCCGACATCAACTAGTGTCCTCATCGCCATCGCCATGGTTATAGTCGGCTACTTGCTGGGAAAACTAATCTGAACAGCCTTCATCTTATTGTATACCTCAGTGTATCCCCACCGTCCCCGTGTGTTTTTTTGGCCTGTCCTCTGCCGTCACATGCCATCGTTCGATCGCAGACACAGACTCCAGACATTGCGTTACTCGAATGTTCATAATAAACGCTATAAACACGAACGGTAGTGGTCTACATTAATAGAGCTGCTCGTTACGGGTGTGTGTGCTTACAAGAGATCCGATAAGGGGCTTGATTTGAAGAAAAAAAGAAAAAGAAAAAAAACAAGAGAAAAGAGTTGCTCATTTATGTTATGTTTAAAGGAAAAAAGAAATGTCCAGCGGCACACCGGTAGAAAGTCGATTCAAAAGTACTAGGCGGTCGCTCGGTCATTACTCTTGCGTTCTCTTGCGTTCGTTCGCATAATTACATTTTCGTTTCCGCGCTTCCCACACAAGGTTTTCGCTTACGATTTTCAATTACCGACTGTAGCTTGCGCCTATTATTCTCGCGACGAAGAGAAAACAAATCGTTATTGGGAGAGTGTTCTGTCGCAATGATTGTATCGCGCACATTATAATTTTTTCGAACCTGTACAACAATCATTCGAAATAAATCTCGCGCTGTGTTACTGAATGCAAAAGATCACACACGTACGAGTCAGGGAATTATCGCATCACATTGGATAGCATCTTCCTCCACACGATATTATCCGAACGTTATAATAACATTGTACGAGCGGAAAGCGGGATCAGTGTCCGACTTGCCAATGCGATGCGACCGGACCTGAGCGCACAGTTGCCTACATTCGTTCGATTCGCGCGCGCTTCTCCGGTGCAGCCGCGTTGCTCCTCCGGGCGCTGTTCCCGATCGTTTCCCGTTATTATACGTCGCGACGTTGAGATGCGAAGTGCGTTCGCGGCGGCGAGTAACGATTTGAATGCATTTGTAAGTGTAGTTTACGTAGGTTACATTATACATTTGTTGCAAGAGAAAATATATACATTGTATGTTGTGCAGCTGTAAATGTATCAGTGTATGTGTGTGTGTGTGTGTGTGTGTGTGTGTGCGCGCGCTCGCTCGCGCATGTGTGTTTGTGAAGGGAGGAAACGATATAACACCGATGCATTTACAAGTACATTTATCCATAATCGTTAGTCGCTGTTCGCAAGCATGGCTCGCTCTCAACGCCGTCAACATACATACTATGTCCATCTGTGTGTGTGTGAAAAAATGTGTTAAATAACTTGTAACATCACATATAGTCCGGGGATCCGGGGGGGGGAAGGGGGTTGTTAGAGGCGGTGGCTGGTCGAAGAGTAGTGGTTTACGATCCAACAAATCGGTTGTGCTGGTCGCATAAACGCCAGCGTTGATATATTAAATGAGAAACCGTTAAAGCATTGAACTTACGTCTGACGCTTCAGTGTACTTTTTATTTCTTTATGTTTGTCTTACAAAAAGTAACGAATAAAGATGTATCTCGGATATCACATGGCGAAGATGGTTTTGAATTTCGCACCTTATATCTGCCGAACTTCGTCGGTCTCGTTCGAAACTAACTCGTTGGCATGATCTCTCTCTCTCTCTCTCTTTCTCTCTCTCTCTCTCTCTCTCTTTCACATGGACATGGTATATTGTTTCGAAGAAGGGGAGGGGGAGGAGGAGAAGTCCGTGAGCGACGTCGGGTTCCGGTCAGGGTTCAGTGACTACGTGCTTCCGGCCGCGGGGCGGACCGGTGGTGGACAGTTAAAAAGTACCGTCGAGCACGTATAATACTTATATCACACAGGTGTAGAAATATTTATATAACTGTGCCTTAGAACTAGAGGCAATAGCGTTAATACTGTTTCAAGACCTTTTACCGGCTTCCTATATCTCTAGCTCCGAAACTTTTTTTACTATACACCTCGCTACGGTCCTTCGGTAAATCATTCTATAATGAACTACGAAACCGAATTCTCTCTTCGTGTCTCGCGGCTGTAATATAGCAGAATATTGTTTCACATATAACACACACACATACACATACTGTTAAATTGTAAGTAGACGCGTGTGAGACGCGGCTCAGTAGTAGCGCGGAAGAATCTAGCGTTTCTTTCGATCGACTGTGTGTACTTTATAATCGGTGTGAACTCTTCCGTCGTCGCTGTACGAGTATCTGATTCGGTGTGACGGAGCTCTAAAAGTGCTGATAGTATTATTTTTACAAGTACTAACATTCCTCTAACTTTCGGGCGTGCGGTGAAAGAGAGAAAGAGAGAACGGAGAGGATTCAGCGACTCCTACAGCGAAAGGACGACCTTAGATAAATCGTGTAAGTAATAATCAGATTCCATCTCTCTCTCTCCTTGCGCATATAAATATTTTACGTGTATACGTATCCTTATTAATTATAAAGTTTACTAAAACTCGAATCTGATCTATGTCGCGTCTTTGTAAAACGGAATATTGTAACATAAATTAAAAAAATATATATATATATGTATATTCTCACACACACACACACATACACATATACACAGATAAGAAGAGTTGTCTCTTATCTCTCGCGCGTTTTATCTGCAACCAGTGACGCTCTCCGTAACTCCGTAGGGAAAAGGGAAAAAAGCGAGGGATACGATTACGATGCAGAGAGACGAGATAGCGATACAGTTCTCATCTAGACATTTCTCGAGCACTACGTTAGATCTCATCGCAAGTACGAAGAATTTGTTGTATATGACTTATATAAGATTGTTACAATACGATTACACACGTATGATTACCGAGTTTTGCGGTTTCGCTTCATGCGTGACTACACCGTCACGTGCGACTAATTCATTAACAGCGGTATTTTTTCCGTTAACACTCGTGTTTGAATAAAAGTATTCTATTAAACAGTGTACCACCATGTGTATACATATATATATATATATGTATATATATTTATATATCAACTCCAGATGCTTCGATATAGTAATTATTGTATGCGCGCGCGTGCGTGTGCGTGTGTGTGTGTGTGTGTGTGTGTGTGTGTGTGTGTGTGTATCTCTGTATATTGTGTACAGCCTCTTCCCCGCTACTCACGATTGTACTTGCGGCCGATTTACCTCTCGAGATGTAATCATCCCGACTTAACGCTTGAAACTAAATCCTTAAAATAGCATCGCCACGAGAGACGCGTCATTACCCCGAACTGATTTGCCGAAGTATGAGAGCAAGAAAAGCTCGCAGAGTTGCGAGCAACGATCCGGCCAAGTTTGAGCGTCTTTCCGACGGAAATCTGCAACAAGATGTGAGGTCCATAGCGCACTCAAAGTCACAAGCGCTAAGCAAACTGACCAACCGCAGTCGTCGACCATCCTCGCACCACAAGTGGCATAATCGACTGTGACCGGTCGGTGTGCTTAGATTCTGACTCTATGTCTGACCCCCATACACTCCCATACTGACTGGTGCACCTCCCCGACTCAGCGACCAGTCGAGTGTAACACCCCGTTCGAATCCCGAATATTAGATCAATAGATCGGTATCGCGGTAAAACATTGCTTCCTGCGAGTATCAATGGGCGACGGGTGGCGAGAGCGACCTAGGCGAGCCGGCGATCGAGAAAATTCGCGTGTGAAATCGAGAACGAGCAGGAGCAGGAGGGAGAGGCAGGCAAACGGGCGGGGGTGGCTCGCGCGCGCGTGACGCAGCGGGGAATTTTGCGCGAGAGAGAGAGATTCGCGGCCAGCCCCATGACGCGCGAGACAGTTTCCGAAAAAGGGGCAGCGTCCCCCGGAAAGTGCCCGCGTAGGTGGATTCCGAAGTGGAGTAGGTCAACTCATAACCAACCGGACTGCGATCCCCACACTCTCTCTCTCTCTCTCTCTCTCTCTCTCTCTCAGTTTCACCTTCCCTTCCTCCCTCTGCCCCGTACGCGTCTATATTTTCGGTCGCATCGCGGAAGGTCGGGATCCACCCCCCCTCCCCCCGTTGCGGTAAAAGAACGTTAAAATATAAAGCCGCGCCAAATGCAGGACGCGATCGCGCAATAATAATCCCCGTTTAGAGCGCTAGAGGGGACGAGCGAGCGCGAGCGCGGGCGGACCTTTCGACGGGTTTTTTCTCCTTGAACTGTCGTCGCCGCCGCGGGCGCGCATCGAACGACGATTTCCCGTTCGTTACTTATCGTCATTACTTGCCGGCTATTGATTCGACTTACGGTTAAACGCTCCGCTTAACGCTTCGCGTTAAAAATTTCATACTCGGCAGCGCTGTGCTGGTTGTGCGCGCCGCGCGGCCGCCTGCTTAACGTTCTCGCCGCGACGGCGTGTACGTTTCTCTTTACCCCGTTTGCGATCGAATTTCTCTTCTCTCTCTCACTCTCTCTCTCTCTCTCTCTCTCTCTTCTCGTCGGAGAAACGGCGGTACGGCAAAATGCTACGGCGATCGGCTTCCGAGTGTGCGGCTTTAAAGCGCCCGCTGCATTCCGCGTAATTAAGAAATCAAGAGACAACGGTGTTTCTTGCTCGTAAACCGGGGAATCCCGGCGTTTACCGTGCCCGAGGACTCTAGGATCGTCCTTCAGGCTTCTCTGTTCTCTTACGCTCAACTGGCGCACACTTTCGTCAAACTTGAAAACAGACGAGTATAGACTCATATAGTCGAGACTCTTCGCAGAAGAGAGAGAGCGAGAGAGAGAGCGAGAGAGAGAGAGAGAGAGAGAGGAAGGGAGAGAAGTACAGCGAAAAAGAACAGACTAATTCGTCGAAAACGACCGTTCCCGGCAACGTGTCGAACTTCGCGCTCGAGAGTGCGTTCACTGCGCTCGGGGGTGGAAATCAGGCGCGTCGATGCTGCTCCGCTTTAACGAGAGGGTACTCCTCTCGCGACGCGATCTATTCCGCCGCTGTTCGGCAGCTAAAGGGGTTGAAGTCAAGCGCGGGCGAAAGCGCGCGTTCCTCAGCAACGGAGGAACTCAGCGAGCGCATCAGCGACGCAGCCGATCAGTCCTCATCATGATCCCGAAACGAAGCTGACGGCATCAGCAGACTTCACACCGATGCGACGCGTCGTCGGTTCTCCCACGACGCATGACCCCGGGTACGGGTCGAGTGACCGATGACGCTCGCACCGAGAGACGTTCAACTGCGAACTAAAGTCGGACACGCGATTTCCTCGGTCACGCCGTACGGATAAATCGGGAATACGGGTAGAGAGAGAGAGAGAGAGAGAGAGAGAGAGAGAGAGAGAGAGAGAGAGAGAGAGAGAGAGAGAGAGAGAGAGAACGAGAGAGAGGGTGGCGTGGCGGCGGCAGCGACGTTGGAAACGACGGCGGAGGTGGTGGTGGTGGTGGCAGTGGTGGAGGCGGTGGAGGTGGCGGAGCCACGACGGATGCAGCGCAGAGCAGCCTGATCAGGGTGGCGGCGGCAGTAGCGGCTGGCTATTGATTTCAAGGGCTTCCTTAGCCCCCCGCCTTGCCGCTGAGTGCCCGACGGCTCCAGGTCAGCCCGAAGGGCTCGCGGTGCCCGCGACTAAACGCGTTCGTCTCTCGCGTCCGGCTAGGCCGCGGATCGCCGGAGGTGGGGAAAGTTGTCGCGTCGTTGGATAGCGGAAAAGTCGGGAGAGTCGCGCGCGCTTTCGTCGGCGAGGCTGGAACCTGCCGTCGCTGGAGCCGAGCGAGAGCGAGAGCGAGAAAGAGAGAGAGAGAGAGAGAGAGAGAGAGAGAGCGGTGAGGCGCTTCCGGTCGCGCGCGACAATTTTCCGCTCGCGACTCGCCGCGCCGCGCTGGTGGAGTCGCTCCGTCCGCCGGAGCAGCCGGATATATCGCGTCACTCGACCGACGACGACGACGCGGGACTCGCGCTTGCAGCGAGGATGCTGCCGGACGGACGATCCGGCCTCGTCGAGTAAGCGGCACTATCGCGCGCGCGGGTGCGGCAACGCTCGCGGGCCGCGGAAGGGCTAAGGTCGCGAGAGGGGCGCGCCCGTCCGCCCGCCGCCCCGACGGGATCCGGTAGCCACCCCCGCACGCGCTACGGCACTGCGCGAGTCGGGCCGAGGCACAGACGCGGATCGCGGGGTGAGCCGTCGCTTGCCATACGTCGAACTGGGTGCCCCGCGTTGGGGCGTCTCCTGGCATCAGCGGGCATCGGTGTCGTGCAGTCGATCGGGGGACCACCAGCATCTTCTCCGAGTCCCCGTGCGAGTACTGTCTCTGTGAGACGGAGACGGAGACAGAGGGAGAGAGAGAGAGAGAGAGAGAGAGAGGGAGGGAGGAAGATAGATAGATAGAGAGAGAGAGAGAGAGAGAGAGAGAGAGAGAGAGAGAGAGAGAAAGAGAGCGAGAGAAAGGGAGAGACAGAGAGAGAGAGAGAGAAAGAGAGAGAGAGAGAGAGAAAGAGATAGATAGACAGAGCGGCGTGAGTGCGTGCGTCCTGTGCGTCCATTCGTTCGTCCGTTCGTCCGTTCGTTCGTACGTCTCTTTTCCTTTTTTTTTCCTTTCGCGCCGCCCGTGTGGTCGCACGAGTG